CTTTTAAATTTTAGTTTTTAAATTTGAGTCAAATTTGTTGTGGAAAGTATATTCGTTGCGATATTGATTGAGATCGAGTATTTCATACTGATATAGCACAAAAAACTATTAGTTAGTTAGAGTGAGAAAAATTCAATAACTCTTTTTTCGTGAAAACTCCAGGAAAAAACACACAAAGCCTTGCCCAAAGTGAAGAAGTTTATTGCACTTAAGTGAGTTACAAAGCTTGATTCCTTAATTTGAAGACGATGAAATTAAAATTGTTTGGAGAGTTGATCAAATTTCATATAGGTACTCGAGAGAGTGAAATGACCATTGGTCGGCGACGAAAGTTCGTAGTCTGGTAGCACGGTTGGGTGAAGAGCCAGCAGTGTTGGTGGAAGAACAGAGATCCGATGTGTATGGACGAAGGTTTGACGGAGTTGGGGGTGGTCGATTAGGTTTTAGGATCATTTGGTCATCCAATTACGCTTTGAACATTTCAAACAGTGCTTTGGTACCTTGATTTGCACGTATTTAGGTCGAATTAGACCAATTTTTGTATGATTGGGGTTGTCTCCTTGAAATATTCAGTTTAACATAAGTTTATTGAAATTAGAGTTCTTAAATGATCCCAAATTTTGATTTAAAGTGTCAACGAAGATTTAACTCAAGATTCAAAATTTTTAATGATATATATAAAATTTAAATTTTTTATCATATTTACCCTTTTTCATTAAAATTGGATTGTAATAATATTACATTAATTCATTTATGCCCTATTTAAAATTTATTAATATTTATGATAGATTTTAAAATTTTAAAATAGCTGCCTTTATAAGAATAATATATTTTTTTAATTATAAGAAAAGTGTTACAACAGCTAAGATAATTGTTTTTTTCCCAAGAAAAGATCCAAATTGATAATATGAATCATAAAAGCATATTGCGAGGAAAGAGAAATAAATAAACTAAAATAATAATAAAAAGGAAAAGTAGCTTGACGTTGACGCAACGGAACAAGAATTTTGGACGGTACCGAAAGATGATTACGTGGCCCAACGTGTTGACTCGATATACCGTACGTAATGCGTCCAGGTTTTGGCATTGACGTACGGTTGCCGTATGGCATCAACTTGTTACAATCTCCCTCCCTAAAAAAATAAAAATAAAAAATAAATAAATATATAAATCTTTAGTATTCTAATTCTAAACTAAAAGTCTTATGATTCTAATTGAGGAGAGATTATAGTGTGGACTCGTCTGATACCGTTTGATATGAGCGCGTACCGTAACTATATTTTTGGATGACGTGACATATTTTTTATTGTCTCTGACGATGTCCGGATCTCTGGACGATGCTCAGACTCCCGCACAGAATATTTGTATTAAGGGCCATAAGGATCACCTTTCGATCACCGTCATTAAATTAGTCATATCAGATCACTTGACCAAAAAGTTCTATTAGACTGATAAGACAACATATAGAATACAGAAGAAATAAAGGAAACAGACAAAGCAAAGATAAAATTAGCCAAAACTTCATATGTATAAATAAGTATTTTCACCACAGGCTTTGAGCTCAATACATGTGTATATATATACAGCTAGATAGCTTGGGCACCTAGCATTAACGATTTAATTCTAGGTATAAGTGATGAAGGCTCTGATTAAATTTGCAGTAATAAGATGCTGCACTAGCAACTTATTTGTATAATGCATTCGATATGCTTTGGATTGCCGGGATCAGCCAATTAGGCTTCTTTGGACGGCTTTCTTGTTTCTTAAAACATTTTTTAGTACAAAAATTTAAATTTTTTACTAAAAAGCTGCTTTAGAAAGAAAGCCCCCAACAAAGCCTTAGTCTCAAACCACCGCGCTCATTAAATCATCTCCATTGGGTCCTTGGCGCACATAACCTACCTGCAAATGTCATCATCCGCTCTCTGCCATCAAGATCGCTATTGCTTGACCATTATCACTAGATTTTTTACTGTGCCTCAAAAGATTTAATGACTCTCATCTCGCAACAACTCTGTCATATTTTTTCACGAACAACTCTATCATTGCAATCAAGCTTTCTCCAATATGGACTAGTGAATCTTTATAATCATCGCTGATCACCTAGTTAGAATTATTTGATTTAAACAAGCACCTTGATTTTTCTCATTACTAAGTTTTCTAATAAAAATGATGGTGTTTCTATGCTTATTTCATTTATTTGTTTGGTGTGTAATCTTGAATAATTGAGGACAAGTTTATATCAAAATTAATTTATATAAAATTACAACATAAGATACATTCTATTACACATTAATATTTTAACAATGCAAACAAAATGTTATGATTATCACATTAACAACCACAATATTAAGGAAACGGTATAAAAAAAAAAAAGGAAACGGATATAATTTTAATATAGATCAATTAATTGGGGGGTTTTAGCTACCTCCATGCAGGTAGGAATTTGAACGTACAAAAAATTAATTAATTAATTACAAATTAAATTTGTAATTAAAATTAAATTCATCTAACCGAGTTTTTCGTCTCTTTTTATTGAACTTTTGTGTTGCTGGGTCCAAAGAATATAATACAACGTTATTAATTTTCACGCCCAGGCTACGTTTGGGACGGCTTTTTTACTACATCTTTAAAGCGCTTTTTAGTAAAAAATTTTAGTGCTAGAAAATCGCTTTAAGAAGAGAAATAAAAAGCCATCCCAAACGAATGCCATTTTATAAATCTTTGGTGAGCAAAATGAAGGAATTTATGGCAAATTTGCAACCTTGATGTTGGTGATTTAGATATCCTATTCATTGAATCTTAAGCGCTAATGCAAAAAGCCATAAAATTTATTAGGAATTTTATTTTTATACTGAGGAAGTATATATGTGCATAATATATATATTTTTATTTTTTTGCTGTAGTTCACAGGCTTTTAATCTAGAAACTCACAGTTCACACAATCCTCGAAGCTGTGTTCTTAACAACAAGGAGCACAAGCATAGGAAGCTTTAATTCCTAGCTTCCATGATTAAGCACTGTAGCCACGCTCAAAGGGCTCCAATTTTCAGAGTTATAACCTCCACAAGCAGTTACTACAAGCATCTTTCCATGGCTTCCTTTGAGATGCCATTGTTGCAAATGTTGGCAAGTCTTCATGTGCTTCTTGCCATACTGGGGAGCGAGCCACAGTGGACTCGAAGACTCGAACCTGAACAAGTGAATTAGAAGAACTGGATCCAGAAACAACTGAAAACAATTAAAATTAACGTTAGAGTTTTCAGTGATCTTTCATTACCATGACTTTCAAACAGTTCCAATCGTCGACCAATTGACATCAGGAGGTCTGACCGCAGCGAGATGGAGGGACCCTTTCACTGCTCCCAAATATGAGCTTTCCAATGAAATCGACGCTGTTATCTAGATGCAAACGGTGATTGAGCGTCTCTGTGAATCTCCTTGAGAGTTTCTTCTTTCTTTGACCTGTTGTCTAACCTTTCATACTGCAACAGGAAGAACAAATGTTTTTTAACCTGGATGCTAAATGATCTCTCAGTAAAAGAAAGACTTAGGCTTCGTTAGGGACAGCTTTTTTACTGCTTTCTAAAACAGGAGTTTTAGTAACAAAATTTTTTATACAATGATCAGTTGGATTGAGTAGGAATTCAATGATCCCAGATAAATATTGGGATTTTGATTTCATTTCCCACATTTTTTCTATCCAAACAAACATATAGAGACAATAGCAGACAGCTAGAAGTACCAATTCATTAAACAACAAGAAGGAACAGTGACTCTATGTTAGAAAAGATAAGGTTTACCATTTTCCACATGAAGAGAAGATTCAGCATCTTCTCTGGGTTACAACCTATGGTGTTATGAAGTGCTTCTGAAGAGATTTTTTGCTGGCATTATAATTAAGGGGTCAAAGCCTTGGTACAAAATACAACTTTTCATTCCTGATGGTTGTAGTTCCATATTCCATCACATGTGATCCTGGGTGACGATCTTTAAATTTAAGGCCCTTGCCTTCACCTGCACCACACAATGCTGATGTATCAACATCCATAGAAAAAAGAGACCTAAACAGCTATTATGCCAATTTACAGAGAAAAGAGCTGCAAAGGCAACTCACCCTCTTATACTGTTCTTTAACCGTTTTCGTTCCTTCGATTGTGGTTATCACTGTAATGAAAATGAATGAGATTAGCGATTCTCTGTTTAAAATATATATTCATGAAGGAGAATCAATGCAAAACTGCTTTCTAATCAAGCATTTATGAATTGCAGGTGGTGCACGAAGCTAACATAACTTCTTGGTCATTTTTATATCTAGGGACAGATCCAATCTTAATTTTCAGGGGGTCAAATTTATAAGTAAAAGTGTAAGTTGTTTTTTTTTTTTTTTTTTTTTTTTATAAAATATCCTTACAATCAAAATTGTTACCGAGGGCGCTGCCTCTCGAGCCCTATTTGTTCATTGTCATTCGCTTCGCAGA